CGAAAAATGTGAACATAATGTTTGCCAGACGGAGCTACTACATCATATCACAGATGTTTGAGCTCGTTGGTGATGGGAGGGTGCTTACAAAAAGGTAGATGAGGGCGAAAAGGAGTGCGGCAGCTCCTGCTGTTATGAGGACATAGCTTAGCGAGTACAGCTGAGCATTGAAAGGCAGACCTGAGGAACGGGGGGACAAGAACACAGCAGGAGAGAACAAATTAAGGTGTAAATTGTTGTAGTTGGGGTGATAGGATGCTGCAAAGGAAGCACTGTGCGGAGAAACATGAAATAGATGAAATGCATCTGTACCAGGGTAGGATATGTCCAGCCACTCGGGGATGTTTGCATGGGGCATGGCGTGGTGGAGGGAGAAGGAGAAGGGGAACTGGAGGAGGAAACCAGCCGCCATGAGTAGAGCAGAGAAGAGGAGGCAGTTGATGATGCGCGCTGCATGGCTCTGTGGTGGACCGTGGAACGGAGGAGAGGAGATGAAAGGGAGAGAAAGGAAGAGGAGAAAGGAAGAGAATGGAGATGAGATATGGTAGAAGGCGAGATTGAAAGAATGACAGGTAGTGAACCAAGAAGGCCAGTTAAAAAGTGAAAGCATTGGGTGAGAAGGAGAGACCAGAAAGAGCAAGGGGGTTAGGTATTGAAGCGTGGTTCACCTGGGAGCTGGGGTCACCTGAAAGCTAGTGATGATGTGGCCGAGGTGCAAGCCCATGAAGGCTGTGAGTGTGGCGCCCAGTGTGCTGGTGAGAATAGGGGCGATGAAAGGCGGAGAGAGAGGTCAGTGGGTACGAGAATTGTTCAGAGGCACGTGGTGAACTGAGAGCAGGGAAAAGGGGAGGTAAGGAATGAGTAGTTGGAGTTTGAAAAGGGTAGAAGCGGAAAAACGACCCCACCCTCACACCCCCAGCACCAACACCCCCACCGTTTGCATCCCCACACTCCCCAGCAGCTCCCGTCCCATGCCCAGCTCGCACTTCAGCAGCCTCATGGGCTCGAATGGTGCAGAGTGCCACACGCGGAGGTGCCTGGGAAATCCAACAGTTGACTCAAAAGCCTACTCTCAAGATCTCTAGTCAACATTAACATGCCCTGCTCGCACCTGAGCAGCCCCATGGGCTCAAACGGCGCAGAGCACCACACGGGAGGTGACTTGTCGCCAGAGGATGGTAGGGCGAGGAGTGAGGGAGGAGAGGCAGCGGGAACAGAGTAGTTGCCGCTGCACATCTGCAGCAGGGAGGTGAAGACAAAGTGGAAACGAGTGTGTGAGGCAAGGCGGGGAGGGCAGAAATCAGATGATATTGGGAAGGAGGGCGGGAGGGGCGGAGTACCGTGGCATAAAAACTGGGCGAGCAGCACTTACAGTGGTATGTGTAACGGACATGGACACATACCAGCATGGAAAGGAGCACGCAAAGGGAAGAGCAGGTGAAGTGCATGCATGTGCAAAGATATGCGTCAATGTGCAAAGCTCACCGGCAAGTGGGTGTAGGGAGGCGAGGCGAGGAGGTGATTGGTGGAGAGCAGCAGGCGGTCGATGTAGCCCGCAGCACTGCAGGCAGGGGAGAGGTCTCCTGAGCGCGAGCACACCACCTGATGGGCATGGGGAAGAGGACAACACGGGCAGAAGCACGGAGTGGCAGGCAGGCAGGCAGGCACTTAGAAAGCAAGCAGGACGATGTGGGTGCGAAGGAAGGGAATTGGAGGTCGACAAAGCGAGGTGAGCGGGCTGGGAGAAGGGAATTCAGGTGGCGTTTGGTGGGTTGTGGAAGGATGGGAAAATCAGAGTGGGGAGAAGAGAATCTCTGGTGACCGCGGTTGCACTGCAGCTGTGGCAGGAACAGGTGCTATCTTCTAGTTGCATGCTACTTTCGAATCCAGTTAGGGCACTCCCTTGTGCCACCATTCACTAACCATTAGGTCTTGAGGCGTGCTGCTGGCAAGTGACGCAGCGTGGGGAATGAAGCTCGAGTTGACGGCAGAGAGGGAGGCGGAGGAGGTGGGGGGAGTGAAGGTCCAGTCAGGCACGAAGAGGAGGAAGGTGAGGGCGAGGTAGATCGCAGCTAGCATGAGCGACGCCTGCCTGGAGGGGGTTGGGTTGTGTGCCAAAGCAGGGATGATGAGAGGAGGGAGACGAAACATTGGGGAAAGGAGAAAGTTTTAGGGCGGGGAAATTGCAGCTAAGAGAGAAAATATGATGGAATTATGCAATGGCTTGAACTTGAGAGCGCACTGACCAGGTGAGGAGGGAGAAGGAGAGCAAGCCAGACAATCCCTCTCCATATCCCTCTATGTGGCAATCCTTGGGTGCGGACAGCAGCACCTGCGCCAGTGCTATTGTGTACGAATCCGATCCAGTGAGGCACGTACCAGGTGAGGAGAGAGAAGGATAACAAGCCGAATAGCCCCTCCTCGTATCCCTCTGTGTGGCAGTCCTTGGGCGCGGACAGCAGCACCTGCGCCAGTGCTACCACTGTGTATGAATCCGATCCAGTGAGGCACTAACCAGGTGAGGAGGGAGAAGGAGAGCAAGCCGGAGAGCCCCTCTCCACGCCCCTCTGCATGGCAGTCCTTGGGCGCGGACAGCAGCACCTGCGCCAATGCTACCACTGTGTACGCCACAGCTATGCGTTGCAGTGTGCCACAGATACGCATTCGCGTCAGACTGATGCCGAAACTCAGGTCCCCTGTTCTGTGAAAGAAGCCACCTGGAAGGTGCCGGGAAGGTGGAGGGAGAGGCAAGGGAAAGGTCGGTGCGTGGTGATAAATGGTGTGCGTGAGTGAGAGGAGAAAGGCGTGAGTGAGAGGAAAGGGGTATGACTGAGAGGACGGGGAAGAAAACCTGGGTGAGTGAGAAGGAGAGTGCAAAAAGGTGAAAGCCACAAGTGAAGAGGGATACGGTTGGTTGATATCCAAAGCAGGCAGAGACACGCTGGCAATGTTCGAGAAACAAGTCAAGAAAGTTGTTGTTGATGGTATGCAAAAGGAGGAAGAGGGTGGCAACCTTCAAGGAAGAGGCCGAGGAGGAAGAGGCAGCAGGCGCGTCTGAGAATCCTATGCACGGCCGCAGTGCGGCTGTGGACGGCTCTGAACGTGAGCGCCGCTGCAGCGCCCGAGGCGAAGAGGAAGAAGGGAGCGACTAGGTCGCCCAGTTGCAGCCCGTCCCAGGGGGACACTCCCATCCATGGCACCTCCGAACCCACGTCCAGCGCCACTATCATGGCCTGCAGGGAGGAGGGGAGAAGGAAGCGGTTGGGACATGGTGGTGAGGTCCAATCCATTTTAGCTGCAGGAGCAGTGGAAGCAGATTAATTGAGGTAGCCCCACCACTCCTCTAGACCACGTCCAGCGCCACTATCATGGCCTGCAGGGAGGAGGGGAGAAGGAAGCGGTTGGGACTTGGTCGTGAGGTCCACGCAATGTCAGCAGCGGAAGCTGCAGCAGCAGTAGCAGCAACAGCAGTGCATCCCGGGAGTACACCCACCTCACCTTCGACCTCACGTTTAGAGCCACAATGGTGCGTGCGTATGCGCTGTGGAGACCCAACAGAGTCTTGAATTATTTGCGACAGCCAGACACTAACGGTGAAGATTCGCATGCTGTCGACATTAACGTGGGGTTGGGACGCTCGACATGGCTTGGAAATGTGCATGCAAGTAAGTGGTGCTGGAGAGTGCTCGGAATGACGCGACGAGCCCGCAGGTGTGAGTGGTGATCATTGAGTCGATTCGAGGTCAGATTGGTGTACTTACGACGATGCTGATTCCGCGAAAAACGTCGAGCGATGCTAGTCGCACGGGATTATGCGACACGTGCGACGTGCTGTCATCGCAGGGAACGTGATGCGACGGGAGGATGGGACCCATGCGACTGTCCGAGCGAAGTAACGGCGAGATTAAGCCGTCCTCCATGGCTCTTCTACACTCAGCGAAGCTCTGCGATATCTGCAACGCGTTGCGATCAGGCTACCTAGCGACTGTCGTCGATACGTTTGAAATTCCCGCGACGACGACGCCTTATGAGAATGACGCCACGAAAGCACAATATTCTTACAACAAATCTTCAAGCCAGTAGCCTGGAAATGGAAGATTGAGAATTATTATAATCTTGGACAACGGGATTGTCGGCAAGGCGGATTAGACACCGTATGCTACTGGTGCTCTGGTGACAGACAGAGCGATTATGGGAACTGGCAACACTCGTGAATCCTAGTGTCCTGCGTCTGTCTGCCTAATCCACATCATCAGAGGAACTATCACGAAGACCAGTCTGGGAGATTCCTTGAGAAATACCAGATAATCTTGGGAGGCATGACAGCGGATGGATTTCAACACATTTTGCTCTAACGGCTTGCTCGGTTCTTGGAGGTTCCATTTTGAAATTCCCAGGAATTCCCGAAGCTCCGCCCTCGGGAATTGGGATGCACCGGAGGAGTCTCCTAGGTAGATTTCGGTTTGGCGCGAACCTCGCCAGGCTGCCTCGGGAGTGCCGCATAACACCCTCCACTTGATAAAATTTCCCTCGACTCGAACTATCGAAATCACAAGGAACATTATTTTGTTGAAGACGACTGTAACGCGTTTGGTTCCCAAACTCTACCTCCCCCTCCTGGCGAACCTAGAAGACTGTTTTCCACGGCACTGGGTTCACGAAAGTGGGGAAATAGTCGACTTCCTGTGGGATAGATCTGCCTGTTGCGGGTACTCCTCACATTATCAAAATCAATGCCGGTGATTTCCGTGAAACCGGGCACGAAAATAGCTTCCACCGCATCAACATGGAGTCGCACTTTGAGTCATCATTCGTCAGTGTCACTGCATTCGCTGCTCCTGATCTCGCCAGTGCTTCTCATCCTGCTTCTCACATCACGTCCGGCGCCTCGCGAAAACTCCACCCCCTCCTTCGCTACACGCGAAGATGTAACCACGGATCGGCGAAAGCTCCTGTTTTCGCTACGGAAGCCCAAGGAGTGCGAGGGGCCGAACGGCACGATGGCGAATAAGATAATCCCCATGGAGGCCGTTGCGAGTCAGCGCAAGCTGGTCGGCGGATGGCGGCCGCGGAAGGGGAAATACCTCCTGGCGCTCTGCACCACTGGGAGACTGACCAATCAGGTACCGGGGAAAGGGGACTAACCAATTAGGTGCCAGAGGAACGGAGACTGGCCAATCAGGTATGGGAAAGTGAGTAATCTCTCGTTCGGCTCCACCCCACCCAGAACCTCTCCTTTCCTTTCTCTACCTCTCCTCTCTGTCCTCCCATTTCCCCCTCCCTCCTTGCCCCCTCCCTCTCCCCCTCCCCCTCCACATGTGGGAAATCTCAAAGCTGCCTTCCGTCTACCCTTTTCCCTCCCTTTCTCCTCCCGCGTCCGCAGAGCAGCAGGAGTGCATAATGACTTACTTCATCTTCGCAGTCCTCTTGAACCGCACGCTGCTAATCCCCCCTCTCGCCGTCGCCCAACACACCGGCCTCAACCTAATCTGGCCCTGGACCGCCGTCTTTAATGTCCCCAGACTGCATACCTGCCTCTCGCCCTCTTACGGCCCCCTCACCACGCTCCTACTACCGGACTACCTCGCCCGCTCCCACTCCCCCCATGCTTACGTGGCACACCTTATCTGCCTCAAGCCCACGTGTAATCATGAGTGGACGCTGCGAGTGTTGCTGCGGGAGGTGCCTGAGATCAAGCTAGCGGACAAGAAAGGCCGCCCGATAGCTGTGAATCAGAGCTTGGTGGATAGGATGGGGAAGGTTCAGCTGGAGAAGCTTCTAGAAGCTGTAAAGGTGGTGGAGGGGGAGGAGGAGAGGGCGGAGGCGGAGGAGGGAGGAAGAGCGGTGGAGGGGGAGAGTCACGCTGACTCTTCAGGGGGAGAGCAAGTTAAGGAGCAAATAGGAGGGAGTGGAGCAGTAGGAAAAGGGGCAGCAGCAGCAGGAGGAGGAAGTCGTGGAGAGGAAGCATCAATGCGGAGACGATTGAATGAAGTGGGCAGTGGAGCAGAGGAGACAGGTATGCAAACACACGAAGGTGTGGCTGCAGCAGCATCCCAGGCAGCACCGGCTTTGGCTGGGCAAGCATTGGCTACAGCAGAATCATCAGGCGCAACAGAATTTGCAGCAACGACCCTCAACCTGGCTGCCACAGCACCAGCCGCATTAACTACTGCAGTCTTGGCTGCACCACCATCTACACCAGCGCCAGCTGTAGCAGCAGCAGCTGCAGTGGCAGTACCAGAAACACCTGCTGCTGCTGCAGCAGCACCATCACCAGCATCTATGGCAGCAGCAGCAGCACCACCGTCAGCTGCTGCAGGCAGCACCGCCCCTGACAACAACGAGGAGTCCAGTCTACCTGCCGGCCACATCCTCACATTCGGGGATTTGGCGGGAACGTCTGTGATTGGCCACGACTGGCTGCTGGAGTCAGCGCTGCCCCTCATCACAGTCCCTCAGGGCTGCAGCAACCTGTGGCGCCCGCATGCAGCTATTATGGAGTTCGTGGATGGCTTCATTGCAACGCACCTGCCATCTCCCTTCATGGCTGTGCATCTCAGGCGGTGAGTGAGTGGCTGCTGTTGATTCAGTCAGTGCACTAGTGCCCCTCGTCACAGTCCCCCTGTGCTGCAGCAACCTGCGGCGGCCGCATGCTGTGGTTATGGCCTTCGTGGAAGGCTGTATCAACACTCACCTTGCCTCCCCTTTCTTGCCTGTGCACCTCATGAGGTGAGTGATAGGCTGCTGGAGCCAGTGCTATGCTGCCCGTCGTTACAGTCCCCCCAGGTTACAATCACCACTTCTATCTCATTCCTCTTTTCTTTTCATGATAACCCGACACAGGGGTGATTTCTCCGGCCATCTGTAGAAGCAGAGCTACAAACGCCACGTGTTCCTGCCCATAGCAGTGCCGCTTACCCCCTCACCACCCCCTCCCCCTTCTATGTTTCTCTCAAATATATAAACTCAGGGGTGATTTCTCCGGCCATCTAAAGAATCAGAGCTACAAGCGGCACGTGTTCCTGCCCATAGCAGCGGTGGGAGATTTCATTCTCTCCCGCGTCGCTGCTGCCAACCTGCACACGGTACTGCTCGCCTCTGATGGCACTGACGCAGAGGTCGCCATGTTGACACAACTGATCACAGGTAATGAAGTGTCTCAGTGTGCGGTTTTGAGATTGCTTGGCATACACGTGGCGCTGCTGCCAACCTGCACACCGTACTGCTCGCCTCTGATGGCACTGAAGCTGAAATTGCCGCGCTCTCGCACATGCTCACAGGTAGGGAAGCTGATTCGTATGCCAGAGATAGTCTGACCTGGCTCGGCATGCACATGGCGCTGCTGCCAACCTGCACACCGAGCTGCTCGCCTCTGACTTTACTGAGGCTGAAGTGGCAATGCTCTCGTACATGCTCACACATTTAGTCTCATGAGTCTACTTTGCCTCATAATCCTGAGGTTTCCCGCCCCGTTCCCTTCCACTCACCCCATCCCTTCAGCCAGCAACGCCACCAGGCTGGTGACGCTGCATGAGAGTCGCTTCACATGTGCCGACACACACAATGATCCCTGGGGGAGGACACTGCTTGCTCTCACTCTCTCCCTCTAGCCACCAACGCCACACCTGCACCTTTCTCCCTCATCCCCCATCCCCTCACCCCCACAAACCCCCTCTCACCCCATCCAGCCAACAACTCCACGAGGCTTGTCACACTACACGAGAGCCGCTTCACATGGGCCGACACACACAATGAGCCCTGGGGACAGGCGCTATTAGCTCTGGAGCAGAGCCTGCCCGAGGGGGGAGGCAAGGGGGTGGTGCGGGCGCTAGCAGAGAAGTACATCTGTGCGCGGGCTCACGTGTTCTATGGCACGGTTTACTCCACGTTCTCCACGGATATTATCAGGATTCGGGCGGCGGAAGGGGTGGCAAACTGCATGGATGGGAAGGTGGGGGAGGAGGGGTAGTGGTAGCTGCCTTGGCCGTGATTGGTCATCCGTTGCTGCAGGTAAGAGAGCCCATACAACATGTTGGAGAGAGGGGTGGTAAGGGGGTGGTGAGGGCGCTAGCAGAGAAGTACATATGTGCGCGGGCTCACGTGTTCTATGGCACGGTTTACTCCACGTTCTCGACGGATATTATCCGGATTCGGGCGGCAGAAGGGGTAGCGAACTGCATGGATGGGAAGGTTGGGGAGGAGAGCTAGTAGAAGTTTGCTTGAGCATGGTTGGTCATCTGTTGCTCCAGTTGCGGCTGTTACGCAGACGTGGTTAGACCATTCAAGATGTTCCTTGGAACTGTACATGCCTGCCGTAGCAGAATGTTGTAAGAGCGCATGGGGCATTGGCCATGAACCTGCAGAGCAGACCATGCCTGCATGTGTGCATCCACTTGTGCATGCACTTGTGCATGCACTTGTGCATCCACTTGTGCATCCACTTGTGCATCCACTTGTGCATCCACTTGTGCATCCACTTGTGCATGCATTGCTTGCATTTGATGCATTCACAGTAGTCATATTTTCTCCAACTGTAAGTCAGCCACAAATGCATGATTGAGCGCACTCAACCAGCTGTATCTCTGCATTGAAAGCACTTTTTTCCACTCCCCATTGTGCTCACCGCACTGTACCGTGGGGTACCCCTTGCTGTTGCACAGCATGTACATTGTCTGCTGGAGCGTCTGTGTCTATTTGCCTTTTGAGTCGACCGAATTCTTTTACGCTCTTGCTGCAGCCAACCACACCACACCACATGTCTGCTGGCCCGTGTCTACTTCTCGGCCGCCTTGCCAACCACCTTGGGCATCTTGTGTGTCCCGGCTGGATCCAAAAAGTGGAGCGATGGAGACGCCAGGGAGATTGGGGAGTCCATAGGAAATGGGAACACAAGGGGAAATGGAAAACGGGTAGAGATGATATGAGGAAATGGGAACGCGCTGGCCCTTGCAAGTTGCACCCATGGGACCAAACTCACACACACACCCCTCCTTCCACACACAGACACACTCACAATCCTCCACATCCTTCAGCTTGTAGTAGTGCGGAGCAATCTCCACCAACCATTCCAGTTTAGTCTCCACGACCTGTCACCTACACCTGCTCTACCACCTCCCCCCTACATACACATGTCCCTCCACACACTCACAATCTTCCACGTCCTTCAGCTTGTAGTAGTGCGGTGCAATCTCCACCAGCCATTCAGGCTTGATCTCCACGACCTGCCGCATGAACTCCTTGCTCGTATACACCAGCTCATGGTATACCACCCACCCACTCCTCTCCCACTCCATGCACATACATGCAAAACACACCTCCCTGCACACACACTCACAATCCTCCACGTCCTTGAGCTTGTAGTAGTGCGGAGCGATTTCAACCAACCATTCGGGCTTGATCTCCACCACTTGCCGCATGAACTCCTTGCTCGTATACACCAGCTCATGGTATACCACCCACCGCGGCAGCACCTGCGCCAGCCCCGAGCTCGGGTGGATGTGCACGGTTTGGGGGTTCTTCACCGTGCGATACGTGCGGTTCTTCTGCAGGCGAGCCGTGTGGTAGAAGTAGCCTGCACATGGGAGGAAAAGGGAAGGAGAGGGGAGAACGGAGCAGGGAGCAGGGAGAGAAAGACAGGAGAATTGAACTGGAGGTGCACCTCTCATTTGGCCTGCTTGATAACATCCATGTGCATTCAGCAAAGCAAGTTCACACAATCGCACCACCACTAGCTCTCACCAGCGGTGATGGCCTTCTTGATGGCATCCAGATCCCCACTGCTGCTGCTGGGTTCAATCTCCACTCGCTCCAACAGCCCCATCAACTGATCGCGCACGTCCCGAGCCATCTTCATGCTTCGCACCTGAGGGGCGGAGGAGGAGAGGAGTTGAAGAGAGGAAGAAGGACAGTGTAGGGAGATCCGGCGCAGCAGCAGCTAATGTGGTCTTCAATTCAATCTCCACTCGCTCCAACAGCCCCATCAGCTGATCGCGCACGTCCCGAGCCATCTTCATGCTTCGCACCTGAGGGGCGGAGGAGGAGAGGAGTTGAAGAGAGGAAGAAGGACAGTGTAGGGAGATCCGGCGCAGCAGCAGCTAATGTGGTCTTCAATTCAATCTCCACTCGCTCCAACAGCCCCATCAGCTGGTCCCTCACGTCACAAGCCATCTTCATGCTGCGCACCTGAGGGGTGGTAGAGATGGGTGGGGGGAAGCGGAGCGAGACGGGAGATGGAAGGGCAGGGAGATGGAGAGAGAGTAAAGATCTCGTGCAGCAGCGGTCTCACATGGCAGAGCGATGTCGTCGCCCACGTTGCCCGTGCCTTGTGGTGGCACGACGGCGCGCAGGCTTGCTGATTGCACCATGAGCACATGAGAGCCTCACCAGATTGCACCTCTCAGCCTCTCACCTGAGAATTGTTGATTCCTCCCATCATCCGCACCCACCTGAATGTAGTTCTCGTAGCAGAACTGAGACGAGAAGCTGGTCTCTGACCACTGCTCGTAGACGCGTAACAGCGCGATATGGTCGCCCACGTTGCCCGTGTGGAAGTTCATGCGCGCGTTGTCTGCATGCACCTGCTTGTCCTTTGGCCGGTAGAACACCGCATTGCCCACCGATAGCATGGCGCATATCGTGGCTGCTTCCTCGGAACAACTGGTGGAGGGGAAACGGGATGGGAGATGAGGAATGGGGAGTGAGGGATCGAAGATGGGAGACTGGGGCGGGCATGTTTATTGAGAATTCTCAAAAAACAATCGAAGATGGGAGAGTGGGGCGAGCAGGGGACACAGGGCAATTGAAGGGAAAGTGGCGAGGGGTGGGGTGCGTGCAGTCATGCCAGCATTGCCATGCCCGCATGCATTTGCACGTTCTGGTGGAGGTACTTCAGACTCACAGGTACTTGTCAGAAGCTACGAGCAGCTTCGACATCTGCGGATCCCCATTTGGTCGACATCTGGGGAACTCGACCATCTGGGGTGGCGCCCCCACCCCAGCGCATACAGCATCTCCAGCGCCCTCAGCAGCACGGATGGGACCAGATCACCAGGGGAAAACCACCAGCACCTCACAGCCCATGCCCCAAAGAGCCCACCCACTCACAGGTACTTATCGGAAGCCACAAGAAGCTTCGACATCTGCGGATCCAGCGGAAACTCCGCCATCTTCCTCCCGAGCTTGGTCAGCTCCCCGCGGTCATTCAGCGCCCCCAGCGCATACAGCATCTCCAGCGCCCGCAGCAGCGTCTCCGCAGGGGGCGGGTCCATAAAATCGAAATTCAGCAAGTCGTTAATCCCAAGAGACTTCAGCATGAGCACGACATTCCCGAGGTTCGTCCTCTGGATCTCCGGCACCGTATTGTCCTCCAACTCATTCGCATACGACCACGCTGTGTACAGCCGGAAGCATTTCCCAGGGGAAGTTCTACCCGCCCGCCCCGCCCGCTGATTCGCCTGTGCTTTCGACACGGGGGTGACTATAAGAGACTCCATGCCGGTGCGCGGGTTGTAGCTCTTCTGCTTCACAAACCCCGGGTCGATCACGTATTTAATCCCGTCGATGGTAAGAGAAGTTTCTGCGATGTTGGTTGCCAGAACCACCTTCCGGGCTCCCTCCGGCGTCTTTTCGAAAATCTTCGCCTGCATGTCCGTGGGCAGGTTCGCGTAGATCGGGCAGATAATCATTTCTGCGATTTTTGTCCCTAAACCCTTGGTTCTGTGCCTTAAAATCTCCTCTGCCGCCTCAATCTCCTCCTGCCCTGTCAGGAACACCAACACATCCCCTGCCGGCTGCGTTACATGGATCTGTAACACGGTTACCACCGCGGCATCTAGATAATCCGCCTCAGGCGCCTTAGTGTAGTGTATATCCACGGGATACCTCCGCCCGGGAATCCGGAAGATCGGCGCAAAGTCGAAATACTCGCTGAACTTCTCCGCGTCGAGCGTGGCGCTCGAAATCAGCAGCTTCAGATCGGGCCTGAACCGCGCTATGTCCTTCACAAGCCCGAACAGCACGTCCGTGTGAAGCGTCCTCTCGTGCGCCTCGTCCACCATCATGACAGAGTAGCTCGCGAGGTCGGGCTCGCCGAGAAACTCGCGGAGGAGCATGCCGTCGGTCATGTATTTGAGCACGGTCTTGTCGGACGTGCAGTCCTCGAATCGGATGGAGTAGCCCACCTCGTGCCCCAGCTTGCACCCCACCTCCTGGGCGACTCTTGCTGCCACGCTCATTGCTGCCACTCTTCGGGGTTGGGTGCACCCGATCTGCAGGCGGGACAGACAGGCATGGATGAGTAAAAACTTTTCTAACCAGGTTTGTCAGACAGGGTTCAACTTGCATCCCACCTCCTGCCCCACCTCTCATCTTGCCTCACCTTTGCCGCATCTTGCCTCACCTTGCCCCAACCCTCCTCATCTTGTCCCACCTCCTCTTCTGCCCCCACCCCTCACCTTCCCGCGCTTGCTGTATCCCTCTTCGTACAAATACAGTGGGATCTGAGTCATCTTGCCCGACCCTTCACCTTGCCCTACCCCACCTTGCCCCACCGTGCCCCACCGCAACTCATTGTGCCCCACCCCTCACCTTGCCGCGCTTGCCGTATCCCTCTTCATACAAATACTGCGGGATCTGAGTCGTCTTGCCCGACCCCGTCTCGCCTACAATCACCAGCACCTGCACTCACACACAGCACGCAGCATGCAGCATATAGCACACAGGAGGAAGTCACACGTAGGAGCAGGAAGGCCGCATACAGAAATTTGAGCAAAAGCACACAGCGTTTATTGTTTCTCCTTTGATATGTACGACACATGGCCATGAATGAAAGTGGGGTGCGGTGTAGTGCCTGGTGGTCGTTGATTGCTTGCAGCAGCTCCTCCCTGTATCGGTACATGGGAAGGTTCTTCCTCTCCGCCTGTATCTTGTCAAACGCCGTCTTGGCCTTTGATACCTCCACCTGCCGCTCCCTCTCCTCCTCGTCCTCTGAACCCTCCTGCACCCATTCCCACCGCATCAGACAGCAGGATAAACCCATCAGCACCTCATTCCACCAGTTTCCGCTACCAAACCAGACATGTCAACGAAACCAAGACAAACATGCAGGGGTTGCCAGACATGACAGTGTACTCACCCTGAGAAAGCTAACTATTATGGGGTACTCGCCCTGTCATCTCCGGCCATGATCGTATCTTTGATGAAGTCGATCTGATCCTCAAACACATACTCGTACTGCTCTGAGTCCACTTTGCGGTCCTTTGACCCAAAGTTCACCGTCGCCTTGCCTGCCACGAGACCCATGGGACATGGTGCACACGTGGCATGGTGCATGCAATAGACATTGCGCATGAGACACAATGCATGCAACAAGACATATAATATGATGCCTGGAAGTTGAAACTCGCTCGACGTGCTTTAGAACGTCACTATCCTTTGGCCTGCCTGCCACACCACTGCCATCCCCCCCAACCCCGACCCATACCTATTTGATGATTCTCCCACGCCTCCTGTTCTGCACGTGGAGTCACCTTGTCGTCTCCCTCAACATCCCTGCCCACACAACATCGGATGAACAGAGAGGTACAGGAGCAGAAATGGCATAGGTTAGTGAGAGTTGAGTCACAACGACATGACCTCGTCAATCGCCCTCCGCATCCCTGACCACACAATGTGGGGAGTTGGGGGAGAGGAGTAGAGAATGAGATGCCATTCCCAACATCCTTTGATAAACGGTGCATGCCCATGCAGTCCTCTGCACATACACCAACACCCCTCCATGCACACACAGTTACACGCCCAGCCCTCCCGTCGCACCCACACCCCTCCGCACACTCACACCCCTCTCCACCGCACTCACTGGTATCGCTTCATAGCCACGGCGAATCTCTTGTCTTGCTGCACCTTCTCCTCCTTGTCATACGCCTCTGGCAGGTGGTACTGCCACAGAGGACGAGGAAAGGGAACACATGGAATTAACATCAACGTGTGCTTGCTTCTGCGCCTCACAAAGCTTCGTTGACAATCTCATGTCCTGCTGTCGAGACATGATGTAATAGTAGTACATGTGTTGGTGCATTTGATGTGCATCATGTGACAATGCATGTGATGCTTCAGGAGATTATGGTGCATGTAGGCTCACCTCCATCACCTTGCCCATGTCCTCCACCTTGCGCTTGTGAGAGGGGTGCGTGCTGTGGTGCATATGCAATTGTGGATGAAACAGCGCAGCAACAATCAATATCGAGCAAGGAAAGCTGGGCTCACCTCGAGCACCTTCCCCACGTCCTCCACTTGCTGCTTGGCCAGCGCCAGCACCTTGCGCTTGTACCGCTGCTCCGCCTGCTCCCTCTCCGTCAGCTTCACATCTGAAAACAGATACTCCTCGTCCACCAACTCGTCCCTGCGATACAGTCACAGAGAGGCACAGGACACAGTGTGTTTGAAGAGTGTTCCTGCCATGAAGTCATGTCGCAAGAAGCTTTTCTAAAAGAACTACTCCTCATCCACCAACTCGCCCCTGCGATACAGTCACGTCGCACAGCACACAGGTACACATCGCAAACAGTCACGCACGGTGACTGAGCCACCTTGCCGACAAGCACAGGACGGTGTGTGGCACGATATGGCTTCTTGGCACGATAGGACAAAGAAGCGCTTACTCGAGCTCCTGCAGCTTCTTGGCTTCTCGCTTGGACAGATACTCCTGCCGTGAGATCTCCCTCAGGCTCGGCATCAGCTCCCTCTGCTGCTCCGCCTCCTCCCTCCTCCTCAACGCCTCTGATGGGTTCGTGCACGCACAGCATTGTACGGTATGGTTGGCACGGAGAGAGAAGGGAGGGGAGAGCAGGCAGAGGAAGAGAAGCAGATGGAAGAACAGGCAGGGCGGACCAGGTAGTGGAAGCAAGGGTTGTGACAATAACGAAACGTTTGAGTCTTAAAACAGGAACGTGACATTATGCTGAGCATAAAGGCAGAGATGTGACCAAAACAGGAGATAGAGCGAGGGGAGAAAGGGAGGGGTGGGAAAGGGAAAATGAGGAGGGGCAGGAGGGGAAGGAGGACAGTTACGGGGCAAGAAGGAGAGTGGAGAAAAGACAAGGATAGATGCATGGAGGGCCACGCGTCAGTAACGGTGGCACATGCAACGTGGAGTGGGTGTGACAGATGGCATGTGGAAGGTGACGTGGGGAGTGTGACACGTGGCAGCACGTGACTGACCTTGTTCCTTCTTGGAAAGCTTCGGCTCTACTTTCTGAGAACGAAAAAGTACGGGGAGTAGAGGGACGTGGAGGGGAATACAATGGAAGGAAGAGGAGCATTAGCTAAGCTTACACGGAAGAACAAGCAGGGATGGAAAGGAGGGGAATGAAGGGGGCGGAAAGGGGGCGATGGGTTGGACCAAAGGGAACTGAACTGGGGACAATTCCTAGTGAATGAAGCAGGGACGACAGGGGGTGAAAGGGGGCGCTGTCGAAGCAGCGAGATATCAATAAGAGAAGCGAGAGAAACGAGAACGAAGGGAGATCCAGCCCACCTTGGTGCGGTCCTCGTCGCGCTGCTTGAGACGCTCCTCAAACTCCTCCCTTTCCAACTTTTAGTCAACCTCAAACCCGTCTCATTTGGGCGACGCATTAACGTACTAACAAGAAAAGAGAGAGAGGCGGGAGAATAAGCGCTCACCTTGGTGCGCTCCTCGTCGCGCTGCTTGAGGCGCTCCTCAAACTCCTCCCTCTCCAGCTGGTCGCGCTCCCTCTCCGCCTCCCTCTGCCTCTCCAATGCCGCCTGCCGGCACCCAGCAGCACCTAACAGATAAAGAACCACGAATGACAACCCATAACAGGACAAGAGTCACAAGACACGTTAAACTCTAATTGTGTTTTGCTTACTGCTGCCATCACATGCACCATTCCACGTTCTAATCACCCTACTAACGACTCATATCTCCAACTCCCCTCCCTACCTCTTCATCCTCCTCCTCCTCCGCCTCTCCCTTCCTTCGCCCACTCCTGTGCTCGCCTTGCCGACCTTTCTTGCGCTGATACTCTGCCAGGGCCTGGGGGGGGAAGGAAGTGAAAAAGGGGCAGGAGGAAGTGAAGAGAGTGAGCTTGAGACATTGGACATGAAAAAGGTCATTGACCGAAAGGCATGGAACAGTGACAGCAACAAAGGAGGCATGAATGGATGAGAGACTACGCACACGGGAAACGAGTGCAGCAAATCAACAGGCACGGCTACCTTACCTGAGCAGTAGCATCATCCTCGGCATCATCCCCACCGTCCATCTCATCTCTCCTCCTCCTCAACTGCCTCCTCTTCTTCCCCTCCTTCCCTCCCTCCCCCTCCCCTGCTCCCCCTCGCCCATCCCTCTCCCTCTCTTCCTCCTTCCTCTCCTTCTCCTCCCTCTCCCTCCCCCTCTGTCTCTCCCTCTCCCGCTCCTCCTCCTCCTCGTCATCATCTGCGTCTAGCAGAGCGTACTGCTGCTGACGGCGGGCAAACTCTATGGCTGCTTTCTCCTCTGTCTTGTATGCCTGCCATAGGTTGCAGGGGGAACAAATAGGGATAGGGGTGAGAGAGCAGGGAAAATGGGTCACAGAGAGATGAGGAGAAACGCCAGGATTGACAGCACTGGGGCAAAATGCTACTCCCTGAACGCGAATCTGAGTGCGAGGTTCTGACGAAAACGAAAGATTGCCAAGAATGCTAATGCGGGAGTGCATCCATAGTCTACAGTACCGTCCCCAAGTGCTACTTAACCTCCACCCCCCCCCTGATATTAGGTAGGTCTTACAAGTGCGTCTCGACCTCCCCACCGCGATCCTATCCTGAGCAAGACCTACCGAAGGACCTTTCTTGGCGCTCGGTATTCTCGAAGCCAGCTGGCTGGCGAAAGCTGACGTGGCAGGCGACGCTGGAAGGCCATTGGACGAGAGGCTGGACGTGAGAGCGCTCACGCTGGACGATCTCTTAGCTGCAGAGAGGACACGTGGCACGAGAGGGACAGGAAATAAGGCAGGGAATTGAAGGGACCAGCGAAGCTTCAGAAACTCATTATCTGACCACCTTTGACTAAGAAAGCATTCCAGAGGCGTGAAAGTTGGAATGGAACACTGGAAACAAATTTCTCGCTTGAACGGATAGCGAGGCGCGACCATATCCACACGCTCTGCAGAAAACATTTATCTCATTCACTACCTTTCACCAGAATTCAATTGGATTCGCTATAAGCAACGCACCTAACGCAATAACGAAGGTAACGAGGCTGGACTCGGAGTAGCCGAGGATTTGATACAGCTGATCCGACACCCACGTCTTTAACTCCTTCTCCTCCGCCATTCCTCGATATTGCCGCTAAGAAACGTCAGGAATCTACGTAGTGACGCGTCCGCGACAGTGGTGAAAAGGGAGATTTATGGGTCGAACTAAAAGCGGACCTCACCGCCTGTTTGCATCTAAAAGGTCTAGAAGACTGGCAGAAAACCGCCTCTTCTCGTGAGTTCAGGTATTCTAGAGCTGTGAAGGTAGAGCTTGACGTTTACGAAACCTGCAGAAATCTTATGAACCTCCTAGCAAGAATATGCGATATTGCCGATCCGCTTTAATTTGTACACTGCCGTTTTCCACTGTACCTGAACTTTCACAGTTTCCTGGAAAAGTTATACCAGTTCCCAACATTTCGAACCCCAATCCAAGCCTAAGGGTTCTCGTAGAACCCTGAGTTGCGGCTCGTACAGTAAGATTCCATTCTCAAAAGCTCCATCCTTCCCTCGACAGTGCCGAGTAAAATTTAGGAATAAAACTGTCAATAATCTGCTTCTCTTTCTCTGATCATTTGATCATCTGATCGTCCCTCCTATGCCTGTCAGGCGCTAGGGTTTGACACTTATTCCTCTTCGTGCAATACTCCCCACCGTAGTTTCGAGACGCTTACCCTGCTGAAAGCAGTTGCTCGTTGTTCTTTGGGGTTTCGATCCCGCATCGTCGTGTCTTCGATTCGCTGCCTGAAGAGTCAGTAGGAATGGCGGACGCAGCGAAGATTGATGAGGCGTTACAGCAGCTGACGGCGATTCAAGACGAACTAGACAAGGTGCAAACAACGTTAAGATCCGACGGATTCCGTCCTTTAACCTACGCATTTTCGACAGCATCGAAGCACGTGAAGCTGCTCTCGTCAGAACCTCCCGAGTCTGGTTTCCGCCTCTATCATTCCTCCATAGACTTTTTTAGGCGCCTCAAAAATCGAGCCTGCTTTCCGACTCTATCATTCCTCCATTTTGAGTCGACTCTAAACACCTCCCGAGTCTGGTTTTCGCCTATCATTCCTCCATAGCCTTTTCCACCACAACTAACACCATAGAGTTCAACTTCTTTTTTCCTTCCAATCCCTCTTTTCTGCGCGTTCTCTCCGTTCTAGCCTGTTCGTCTAACATGGGAGGCATATAGATCAACAAGAAGGCGAGCGACAAGGTGTCGGAAGCGGAGCAGAAGTTCAAAACAAAATGCTCTAGTCTGATGTTTTCTTATCCCCTCACCGTACTCTCCTATCTCCTCTTCGTTCTCGCCCGTCTACTTTTGAGGGGATTTGGGTCAATGACGAAGCGAGCGACGAGGTCTTGGAAGTCGAACAAAAGTACAACAAGCTAGAGATTAAGTCTACTATTCCTTCCACTCCCCATCGTACTCTCCTCATACCCTCTTCGTTCTCGCTCGTCTTAGGTCAACGAGGAGGCGAGCGACAAGGTATTGGAAGTCGAACAGAAGTACAACAAGCTAACTCTACTCTGACGTTCTTTCCACTCTCAATGTCCTTCCTTCTCGCGCTTCTGAGAGGTTTTAGGTCAACGAGGAGGCGAGCGACAAGGTGTTGGAAGTAGAACAGAAGTACAACAAGCTAAAGCGGCCCATTTACGAGCGACGCCAGCAACTAGTATCAGAAGTTAATGACTTCTGGATGACAGTGGTACGCGGTTGTCCTTCTCAGTCGACTCTGTATGTTGAGTCGGCTCGGCTCAGCGTGTTTTTCCACCCTTGTGGTCTCTCCTTTCGTCGGTTCTGTTACGTTTTCCACGTTTCCGTTTCCCCGTTCTTCCCTACTGACTATATCGCGCATTGTGTCTCCGTTAACTTTTGTTCTTTGTTGATCGCAGCTTCTCAATCACGGTCTTCTTCACGCGTTTTTCACAGAAGAGGATAGACAGGTGAGGGAAAATATAGAACCAACGAGTCATAATATGCTCACTGGAACTCCTGAATGCCTCCCGGTTGTTGTGCCTCTAGGTTATTGTGCCTCCCGGTTATTGTGCCTCGCCTCACCTATTCTTCGCCTGGGTGCGCTGAATGTCTTCTTCGTTCCGTCAAGTTCTTGGCGGTCAGATTTCGCTTTTCCATTTTCTCCTTCCTTCGTCCTCCCTTACGAGTCACCATGTCATTCATACGGCTCCCTCACTTCCCAACCCCCCGTACTACGCTATAACCCCCCTGTTACGCTCACCCCTCCCTCCTGATTTTCGTGCTACCCCCGCTCCCTCCTCTCCTGCGCTCTACTCTGCAGGTGCTGGAGTATCTGAGGGGGTTAGACGTGGAGGATTATAAAGACATCAAGTTGGGCTACAGCATCACCTTTGTACGTTCTTAAAAGCTCATAGAAATAGTACTCCAGTTTCTCCCATGATTCACCTGCTCTACTCGCTTCCCGGTACTAATCCACGTGTCAGCTTGTCAGCTCTTGAAGCAGAGGGTTCATGTGACTAGGGTTTGACTCCGGACTTGACTGTCCCTTGTTGCAACCATCATTAAGCCCTGAACCTCGTTAAGGGGAACCCACATTCAGGTGTGATTGGTTCGTTTGTCATTGGCGGGATTTGATATTCTAATCTAAAGTGAATGATTAAGAAGGAATTTGAATTGTACACCTGGAAGTGATGCAAACGGTTGTCTATTTCTATCTCACCTCATCCACATCATTCGGCCATTTCCCTCACCCCTGTCTGATTGGACTGGCAGGCATTCGCGGAGAACCCGTACTTTTCGAATAAGGAGCTGACCAAGAGCTACAAGTACACGGAGGAGGGCACTGCCAATGTGGAGGCGACTAAGATCGAGTGGAAGGAGGGCATGGTGCGACGAGTGGGAGGGGGCTGGGTGCGACGAGTGGGAGGGGGCTGGGTGCGACGAGTGGGAGGGGGCTGGGTGCGACGAGTGGGAGGGGGCTGGGTGCGACGAGTGGGAGGGGGCTGGGTGCGACGAGTGGGAGGGGGCTGGGTGCGACGAGTGGGAGGGGGCTGGGTGCGACGAGTGGGAGGGGGCTGGGTGCGACGAGTGGGAGGGGGCTGGGTGCGACGAGTGGGAGGGGGCTGGGTGCGACGAGTGGGAGGGGGCTGGGTGCGACGAGTGGGAGGGGGCTGGGTGCGACGAGTGGGAGGGGGCTGGGTGCGACGAGTGGGAGGGGGCTGGGTGCGACGAGTGGGAGGGGGCTGGGTGCGACGAGTGGGAGGGGGCTGGGTGCGACGAGTGGGAGGGGGCTGGGTGCGACGAGTGGGAGGGGGCTGGGTGCGACGAGTGGGAGGGGGCTGGGTGCGACGAGTGGGAGGGGGCTGGGTGCGACGAGTGGGAGGGGGCTGGGTGCGACGAGTGGGAGGGGGCTGGGTGCGACGAGTGGGAGGGGGCTGGGTGCGACGAGTGGGAGGGGGCTGGGTGCGACGAGTGGGAGGGGGCTGGGTGCGACGAGTGGGAGGGGGCTGGGTGCGACGAGTGGGAGGGGGCTGGGTGCGACGAGTGGGAGGGGGCTGGGTGCGACGAGTGGGAGGGGGCTGGGTGCGACGAGTGGGAGGGGGCTGGGTGCGACGAGTGGGAGGGGGCTGGGTGCGACGAGTGGGAGGGGGCTGGGTGCGACGAGTGGGAGGGGGCTGGGTGCGACGAGTGGGAGGGGGCTGGGTGCGACGAGTGGGAGGGGGCTGGGTGCGACGAGTGGGAGGGGGCTGGGTGCGACGAGTGGGAGGGGGCTGGGTGCGACGAGTGGGAGGGGGCTGGGTGCGACGAGTGGGAGGGGGCTGGGTGCGACGAGTGGGAGGGGGCTGGGTGCGACGAGTGGGAGGGGGCTGGGTGCGACGAGTGGGAGGGGGCTGGGTGCGACGAGTGGGAGGGGGCTGGGTGCGACGAGTGGGAGGGGGCTGGGTGCGACGAGTGGGAGGGGGCTGGGTGCGACGAGTGGGAGGGGGCTGGGTGCGACGAGTGGGAGGGGGCTGGGTGCGACGAGTGGGAGGGGGCTGGGTGCGACGAGTGGGAGGGGGCTGGGTGCGACGAGTGGGAGGGGGCTGGGTGCGACGAGTGGGAGGGGGCTGGGTGCGACGAGTGGGAGGGGGCTGGGTGCGACGAGTGGGAGGGGGCTGGGTGCGACGAGTGGGAGGGGGCTGGGTGCGACGAGTGGGAGGGGGCTGGGTGCGACGAGTGGGAGGGGGCTGGGTGCGACGAGTGGGAGGGGGCTGGGTGCGACGAGTGGGAGGGGGCTGGGTGCGACGAGTGGGAGGGGGCTGGGTGCGACGAGTGGGAGGGGGCTGGGTGCGACGAGTGGGAGGGGGCTGGGTGCGACGAGTGGGAGGGGGCTGGGTGCGACGAGTGGGAGGGGGCTGGGTGCGACGAGTGGGAGGGGGCTGGGTGCGACGAGTGGGAGGGGGCTGGGTGCGACGAGTGGGAGGGGGCTGGGTGCGACGAGTGGGAGGGGGCTGGGTGCGACGAGTGGGAGGGGGCTGGGTGCGACGAGTGGGAGGGGGCTGGGTGCGACGAGTGGGAGGGGGCTGGGTGCGACGAGTGGGAGGGGGCTGGGTGCGACGAGTGGGAGGGGGCTGGGTGCGACGAGTGGGAGGGGGCTGGGTGCGACGAGTGGGAGGGGGCTGGGTGCGACGAGTGGGAGGGGGCTGGGTGCGACGAGTGGGAGGGGGCTGGGTGCGACGAGTGGGAGGGGGCTGGGTGCGACGAGTGGGAGGGGGCTGGGTGCGACGAGTGGGAGGGGGCTGGGTGCGACGAGTGGGAGGGGGCTGGGTGCGACGAGTGGGAGGGGGCTGGGTGCGACGAGTGGGAGGGGGCTGGGTGCGACGAGTGGGAGGGGGCTGGGTGCGACGAGTGGGAGGGGGCTGGGTGCGACGAGTGGGAGGGGGCTGGGTGCGACGAGTGGGAGGGGGCTGGGTGCGACGAGTGGGAGGGGGCTGGGTGCGACGAGTGGGAGGGGGCTGGGTGCGACGAGTGGGAGGGGGCTGGGTGCGACGAGTGGGAGGGGGCTGGGTGCGACGAGTGGGAGGGGGCTGGGTGCGACGAGTGGGAGGGGGCTGGGTGCGACGAGTGGGAGGGGGCTGGGTGCGACGAGTGGGAGGGGGCTGGGTGCGACGAGTGGGAGGGGGCTGGGTGCGACGAGTGGGAGGGGGCTGGGTGCGACGAGTGGGAGGGGGCTGGGTGCGACGAGTGGGAGGGGGCTGGGTGCGACGAGTGGGAGGGGGCTGGGTGCGACGAGTGGGAGGGGGCTGGGTGCGACGAGTGGGAGGGGGCTGGGTGCGACGAGTGGGAGGGGGCTGGGTGCGACGAGTGGGAGGGGGCTGGGTGCGACGAGTGGGAGGGGGCTGGGTGCGACGAGTGGGAGGGGGCTGGGTGCGACGAGTGGGAGGGGGCTGGGTGCGACGAGTGGGAGGGGGCTGGGTGCGACGAGTGGGAGGGGGCTGGGTGCGACGAGTGGGAGGGGGCTGGGTGCGACGAGTGGGAGGGGGCTGGGTGCGACGAGTGGGAGGGGGCTGGGTGCGACGAGTGGGAGGGGGCTGGGTGCGACGAGTGGGAGGGGGCTGGGTGCGACGAGTGGGAGGGGGCTGGGTGCGACGAGTGGGAGGGGGCTGGGTGCGACGAGTGGGAGGGGGCTGGGTGCGACGAGTGGGAGGGGGCTGGGTGCGACGAGTGGGAGGGGGCTGGGTGCGACGAGTGGGAGGGGGCTGGGTGCGACGAGTGGGAGGGGGCTGGGTGCGACGAGTGGGAGGGGGCTGGGTGCGACGAGTGGGAGGGGGCTGGGTGCGACGAGTGGGAGGGGGCTGGGTGCGACGAGTGGGAGGGGGCTGGGTGCGACGAGTGGGAGGGGGCTGGGTGCGACGAGTGGGAGGGGGCTGGGTGCGACGAGTGGGAGGGGGCTGGGTGCGACGAGTGGGAGGGGGCTGGGTGCGACGAGTGGGAGGGGGCTGGGTGCGACGAGTGGGAGGGGGCTGGGTGCGACGAGTGGGAGGGGGCTGGGTGCGACGAGTGGGAGGGGGCTGGGTGCGACGAGTGGGAGGGGGCTGGGTGCGACGAGTGGGAGGGGGCTGGGTGCGACGAGTGGGAGGGGGCTGGGTGCGACGAGTGGGAGGGGGCTGGGTGCGACGAGTGGGAGGGGGCTGGGTGCGACGAGTGGGAGGGGGCTGGGTGCGACGAGTGGGAGGGGGCTGGGTGCGACGAGTGGGAGGGGGCTGGGTGCGACGAGTGGGAGGGGGCTGGGTGCGACGAGTGGGAGGGGGCTGGGTGCGACGAGTGGGAGGGGGCTGGGTGCGACGAGTGGGAGGGGGCTGGGTGCGACGAGTGGGAGGGGGCTGGGTGCGACGAGTGGGAGGGGGCTGGGTGCGACGAGTGGGAGGGGGCTGGGTGCGACGAGTGGGAGGGGGCTGGGTGCGACGAGTGGGAGGGGGCTGGGTGCGACGAGTGGGAGGGGGCTGGGTGCGACGAGTGGGAGGGGGCTGGGTGCGACGAGTGGGAGGGGGCTGGGTGCGACGAGTGGGAGGGGGCTGGGTGCGACGAGTGGGAGGGGGCTGGGTGCGACGAGTGGGAGGGGGCTGGGTGCGACGAGTGGGAGGGGGCTGGGTGCGACGAGTGGGAGGGGGCTGGGTGCGACGAGTGGGAGGGGGCTGGGTGCGACGAGTGGGAGGGGGCTGGGTGCGACGAGTGGGAGGGGGCTGGGTGCGACGAGTGGGAGGGGGCTGGGTGCGACGAGTGGGAGGGGGCTGGGTGCGACGAGTGGGAGGGGGCTGGGTGCGACGAGTGGGAGGGGGCTGGGTGCGACGAGTGGGAGGGGGCTGGGTGCGACGAGTGGGAGGGGGCTGGGTGCGACGAGTGGGAGGGGGCTGGGTGCGACGAGTGGGAGGGGGCTGGGTGCGACGAGTGGGAGGGGGCTGGGTGCGACGAGTGGGAGGGGGCTGGGTGCGACGAGTGGGAGGGGGCTGGGTGCGACGAGTGGGAGGGGGCTGGGTGCGACGAGTGGGAGGGGGCTGGGTGCGACGAGTGGGAGGGGGCTGGGTGCGACGAGTGGGAGGGGGCTGGGTGCGACGAGTGGGAGGGGGCTGGGTGCGACGAGTGGGAGGGGGCTGGGTGCGACGAGTGGGAGGGGGCTGGGTGCGACGAGTGGGAGGGGGCTGGGTGCGACGAGTGGGAGGGGGCTGGGTGCGACGAGTGGGAGGGGGCTGGGTGCGACGAGTGGGAGGGGGCTGGGTGCGACGAGTGGGAGGGGGCTGGGTGCGACGAGTGGGAGGGGGCTGGGTGCGACGAGTGGGAGGGGGCTGGGTGCGACGAGTGGGAGGGGGCTGGGTGCGACGAGTGGGAGGGGGCTGGGTGCGACGAGTGGGAGGGGGCTGGGTGCGACGAGTGGGAGGGGGCTGGGTGCGACGAGTGGGAGGGGGCTGGGTGCGACGAGTGGGAGGGGGCTGGGTGCGACGAGTGGGAGGGGGCTGGGTGCGACGAGTGGGAGGGGGCTGGGTGCGACGAGTGGGAGGGGGCTGGGTGCGACGAGTGGGAGGGGGCTGGGTGCGACGAGTGGGAGGGGGCTGGGTGCGACGAGTGGGAGGGGGCTGGGTGCGACGAGTGGGAGGGGGCTGGGTGCGACGAGTGGGAGGGGGCTGGGTGCGACGAGTGGGAGGGGGCTGGGTGCGACGAGTGGGAGGGGGCTGGGTGCGACGAGTGGGAGGGGGCTGGGTGCGACGAGTGGGAGGGGGCTGGGTGCGACGAGTGGGAGGGGGCTGGGTGCGACGAGTGGGAGGGGGCTGGGTGCGACGAGTGGGAGGGGGCTGGGTGCGACGAGTGGGAGGGGGCTGGGTGCGACGAGTGGGAGGGGGCTGGGTGCGACG